GAAGGAAGGAAGGAAGGAAGGAAGGAAGGAAGGAAGGAAGGAAGGAAAGGAGGAAGGAAGGGAGGAAGGAAGCCTACACATCATATTTCAAGAAATCATAAAACTGCCCAAAAAATGAAGAGAGCTAAGTGGAAATATAAAGAACCCACTAGTCATCTCCTGAAACAATCACCAAAATGAAAACTTTCAGAAACAAAGACAAAATTCAGAACTTCCAAATGAAAGAAAAAAAAAATTCAAACAGCCTAAAATAAAGAGTTTAATTACTGAGGAACCACAAATAAAATCTCAAAAGATTTATCAACCACCACTGTAAAAGAGTACAGATCTCTGAATATATTCCAAAAGGCAAAATACATAGATGCACAACTATTAATAAGCTATTTAGGAAAACTGAGTAAAATCATATAGTGGAAAAAATGGATCTTTAATGAACTAGATGGACTTTTAAGAACTGATGAAAAAACTAAAGCTGAGTAGAACTTTTTAAATACATAGAAAAACAGAAACATAAAGGTAAATATGAACAAACTATCATAAGAGACTAATCAAAGATGAAGTGTTTAATATTCTAACATAAAGAGACAATACAAATATCTCCTCAGAACCCTACCATCATCAAAGGTCACAGGAGCTACATAAGAGAGATCTCAGTAGTGGTTTTGTTGCTTTGATTATCTTAAAAAGAGAAGAAAGAAAAGAAAAAGAAAAATACTAAAGAGAAAAAAGGGAACAGATGAGTGGAGGAAACTATTTCACAAAATTGGGGGGCCCAAGTTAAAGACTAAACAAATGAGGAGTAGGGGAAGGGAGTGACACTTGAACTTCATTTTCTTTCTTTCTTTCTTTTTTTTTTTTAAAGGCAGTTGGGGTTAAGTGACTTGCCCAGGGTCACACAACTAGTAAGTGTCAAGTGTTTGGTCTGAGGCCGCATTTGAACTCAGGTCCTCCTGACTTCAGGGCCGGTCCTCTATCCACTGCGCCACCTAGCTGCCCTTGAACTTCATTTTCATGTGAATTGATCAAAGAAGTAAAGGAAAATAGAGAAATATAGTTCACTCGAGATACTAGAAGGAAAGGAGATGGAAGAAAGTAGATTCAGGGAGGAGGGCGGATCTCAAAGAAAAGTTTAAAAGAAAAGAAATAAGAATTGTGACTGGGCTCTGGGTGAGGAAAAGAGAAGGGGGGGTAGAGGGAGCAGACACAGATCGCATCAAACCTGAAGCATGGGTTCTTGGCATATTCCTTCCTCACCAACCTCCTCTTTGTAAAAAGGAGGCAAGAACAGGTGGGGGGAAAATATAAGAGATTAGGATAGAAAGAAATTCACAATTAATTTTCGAAAACTGAATGTGAATGAGATGAACTCACCCATAAAATGGAATAAGAGAAAGAATACATTAAAAAGGAGATTTCAACAACATGTGGTTTACTACAAATACACTAGAAACAAAAAGATTCATAGAGTTAAAGGGCCTGGAACAATATTATGCTTTAGCTTCACTCAAAAGGCAGGACAGGGTAGCAATCATGAACTGAGAGAAGGAAAAAGGAAAAAATAGACTTGATTAAAAGACATAAGAAGGGAAACTACATTATATTAAAATGTACTCCAGAAAACATTATAGCAATACTAAATATATATGTGCTAAATGGCATAGCATCCAAATAGTTAAAGAAAAAGTTACAGGTGTTAAAGAAAGATATTACACAATAAAACGATTAATAGTGGTGGGGCAGCTAGGTGGTGCAGTGGATAGAGCACCGGCCTTGGATTCAGGAGGACCTGCATTCAAATCCAGCCTCAGACACATAACACTTACTAGCTGTGTGACCCTGGGCAAGTCACTTAAGCCCATTGCCTAACCCAAAAAACCCCCAAAAAACAAAAAAAAACAAAACAAAACAAAAAAAAACTATTAATAGTGGGAGATCTCTATGTACATCTTTCAGATCTAGACAAATATAATAAAAACAAAAGACAAGTAGAATTTTAGATATATAATATATCTATGCAATTGCTGAATGGGAATAGAAAGGAGTATACACATTCTCAGCAGTGCATTTCAGGCTTTACAAAAACTGATCAAGTATTTAGGTCATAAAACCTCATAAAAATAGAGAAAAATTAAGCACACTGTTTAGTGACCCCAAATGCAATAAAAATTATATACAATTTAAGGACCAGTGAAATGGCAAAAAACTAAAGGTCAAATGATCAAGTTCTAAAGAACTGGTAAGTCAAAAAATAAATCAAAGAAAAAATAGGTAATTTCATTAAAGATAATAACAACAAGACAACATATAAAAATTCTGGAATGCTGCTAAAGCAGTCCTTA